CTTGCCCCCGGCGTGAGACAAAGGCAGGGAATCACCTCCTTTCTTCACCGCTGCAACCCCAGTGCGTAGAGCAGTGGCTGATGCGTCATCAGTGCTCTGTAGAATCTGCTCAATCATGAATCTCCATATTAACAAGAAAAGTACATTTAATGTCTTCTCTAAGAGATAAAGGAAATTATTCCATCCATGAAACAAGAAGTGGAAATTAGGAAACAAGAACAGGCAGTTATAGGAAGAACCAAATAATGATTTTGAAATGAAAATTATACATTCTGAAATTAAAATGATTTCAGAAATAAAAATCTCAATAGAAGGACTACAAAGAAGAATGAATTCAACTAAAGAGCAAATTAGTGAGCTGGACACTGGAACCGAATATCTCCTGCAAGGAGGATGTTGATTTTGATGAATTCTAAGTGTGGTCATATCATGTAATTTAAGTATTTGCTCATTAATTAATTGATTGATTGGTTGACTCAGTCCATATTTATTGCAGGCTTACTATGTGCCAAGCATTGCTCCTGGCAATGGGGATACAGCAGTGAACAAATAGCCATGGTGCCCACCTTCAAGAAGCGTATATTCTAGTGGTGGGAGGCTAGACAAAAACAGAATAAATAAGGAAAATATGAAATGTGATAGACAGTGGTAAACAATGGAGAAAAAGGCAGAAAAGGGAATTAGGGAGTTCCAAGGGTGGGGGCAGTCAGAGTTTAAATAGGGTAGTCGGGGCAGTCCTCACCGAGAACAAGATGTTTTAATGAAGACTTGAAGGAAGTGAGCCATGGGGATCTCTGGGAGAAGAGAGTTCCTGGCAGGAGGAACAGCAAATGCAAAGGCCCTGAGGCAGACATGTACCCGGTACACTCAAGGGACTGCAAGGAAGCCAATGGGACTGGAGTGGAAAGATTATGGATAGGAGGAAATGAGCTTAGAGAAGAAATAGAGGGAGACTACTGTAAAGACTTGTGCAAAGGCCCTGAGGCAGACATGTACCCGGTACACTCAAGGGACTGCAAGGAAGCCAATGGGACTGGAGTGGAGAGATTATGGATAGGAGGAAATGAGCTTAGAGAAGAAATAGAGGGAGACTACTGTAAAGACTTTGGCTTTTACTCTGAGTGAGCCAGGTTTTGAGCACAGCAGTAACATGGTCTCGCTGAAGTAAAACAGAATCCCTTTGCCGGGCGCGGTGGCGCGCGCCTGTAGTCCCAGCTACTCGGGAGGCTGAGGCTGGAGGATCGCTTGAGCCCAGGAGTTCTGGGCTGTAGTGCGCTATGCCGATCGGGTGTCCGCACTAAGTTCGGCATCAATATGGTGACCTCCCGGGAGCGGGGGACCACCAGGTTGCCTAAGGAGGGGTGAACCGGCCCAGGTCGGAAAACAGAATCCCTTTATCTATTTGCAGAATAAAGTGTAAAAAACTAAAGGCGAACTCAGGGGGGCCAAGTAAGAGGCCACTGCAATGATCTAGGGGACACGTGATGATGGCTTAGGCCAAGGTGACAGCAATGGAGGAGGTGAGAGGTGAGCATGTCCTGGCAGGTTTTGAAGGTAGAGCCAATGGGATTTCCTGGCATGGTAAGTGGCATGAAAGGAAGAGAGCAGACAGAGATGACTGCAGGGTATTGTCTTGAGCAACTGAAAGGATAGTCTCCAAAAACTGAGATGGGGAAAGCTGCAGGAGAAGCACATTCTGAAGGAGCTCAGCTTTGGCCATGCTCAGTGTGAGATGTTTATTTATTAGGCACCTAAGATCAGGCAGTGGGATTCAAAGTCCAGCATTCCAAGAAGAGGTCTGGGCTGAAGCTGTGAATGGACCAGATAACAGAGAAGGTAGAAGAGACAATGAAGGACTGAGCCTCGTGGCCCCCAAAATTAAGAGTGTGGGAAGCAGAGGAGGAACCAGCCAAGGAGATTAAGGAAAACTAGGCATCTTGGAGGTGCAGGGAAGAAAGTGTCTTCAGGAAGAAAAGGATAGGAGTCTGTGAAGGCTCAGGTAAGATGAGGACTGAAAGTGCCACAGAATCCAGCAGCATGGAGAACAGTGGAACGAGGGGGCAAAAACTCGATTGGAATGAATCCAAGAAAATAATGGGGAGAGAGAAATTAGAGATGAATGTCTATAATATTTTCATGGCATCTTGCTATAACAGAAGCAGAAAAAGAGGTGGCAGCTGAAGAGGGAAGGGTTCAAAGAGAGGGGGACTGTTCTGGAGGATTGGTGAAAAAAATAGCATATTTGTACATTGGTGGAAATTATCCAGTAAAGGGAGAAAGACAAATGCCAAAGAGAGGGGAGAGGTGAGCAGACAAAGGGGTAGCTCCAGGTACACAGTGAAGGGTTGAAATGGATAAGAGACACGGATGAGAGAGAGCACAGACAGGGCAGAGAGAAGGCAGAGTGTGGAGGCAGCCAGGCAGGGGGGCTGGTGAGAGAATCAGACTGTGGGCTTTGCATGGCCTCTATTTCCTTAGTGACATAAGAAGGAAGGCCATCTATTAAGAGAGAGGATGGAGGAGGAGGTGGCAGTTTTAAAGAGAGGAGATGGTGTAAAATAGCTTCTAGTTTGTGTGTTCGAATGTAAGGATAACAGAAATAAAATGTATAACTACTGAACCAAGACAGCAGACAATAAAACAGGAAAGCTCAATGAACTCAGTAGAAAATAGAAACAAGGAAATAAAGATTTAAAGGGAAAATATGGTAAAGAAAAAAATGTAAGTCCAAACATGTCAGTAATCAAAATAAATGTAAACAGGTTAAAACCACTAATTAAAAGTCAGAGGCTTTTCATTTGGATTCTACAAAAGGAGATGTTAAGCTTATTTGGCAGCCCAGGCTGATGAGGCTGAACGTTAACAGTTACTAAAACAAAGTCTGGACATATTTACACCAAAGTGTGCACAACAGTGATCACTGGTTGGGTGAGTTTAGGAATGACTTTTATTTTTATTACACCTTTCAGTATTTTCTGAATTTGGGGGGAGGTGTGTAAATTAATTTTATAATTGGGGAGAAAAATGGAAATTGTTGTAAAAACTACCCATGCACTTCAGAAAGTCTTCATGGAACCTCCATTTGCTGTCCAAATCAGTACTGAGATCCAGAGAGGCTCTAAAGAAGGGTCTCTGTCCTCTGGGAACTGACTGGAAATAAGACCAGCTGGACTGTAAAAGAAAAGTGCAGGACAGTATAAAGATGGAGCTTCACTGATGACTCCAAGCCCCAGGTATAAGCAGGAATAAGCGAGGAGAGCCCCCTGGAGGAGGAGGCACTTGCAGTCCATGCAGGATGTGGCCCAAAGGAGAGTCTGGAGATGGCACTTCAGGCTGGGGGTACAGTATGAGCGATGGCAGGAACCAGGCAAACCAGCACAGGGCACAGGTTGGCAGCAGTGGATGGGTCAGGGCATAGAGTCCAAGGAGGCGAAGAGGTCGCATTTGGTGCACTGTGTGGAGGGGCAGAGGGAAGAGTGGTAAGGCAGAAAGAAGCAGATGGGAGGAAAGTTAGTCCCCGGACGGGCAGTCTTGTGCCTGAAGCACATGAGAACAAGTGGCTGGGTTGCCGTAACTGCTGAATTGCACATGTGTGCATGCATTCATGTACACACACGCCCACATGAGCACACATGTGGATACGCGCATGCATGTGCATGCACTAGTGGACACATGTACGCACACATGCACACACGCACACACACACACACACTTTTTTGCTGCTTCATGTCCTCTGGCCCCTTAGCCTGGAGAATTAATCGTTGCAACTAAGGGGGTTCTCTTGGCCCTGGTCCAACGTTTCCTGACACTCCCAGCACACATGCTGCCTGCCCCCCTCCCCTGGGAAGGTATGGCCAGCTGTTGCTGACCGGATGTCCCCCTGGCTTTTAAGCAGGATCTGACATGAGGGCTTGTAGTGTGAGGATGAGTTGAAGGGGCAGGAGCAGTGGCAGGAGGACCAGGGAGGGGACAGCTGTGGAGTGGGAGCGATGGGGGAGGGAGAAATCCTTAGGAGGCAAAATCATCAAAGCTTGATGGGGTTGAGAGAAAGGAGCAGGAGATGTGAGCCAAGACACGGGGGTCCAGGTCAGGGGACCTGCAGTGGTTGGCCATAGCCAAGGCAAGGGTCCCGGGAGGAGTGGATGTGGGGAGGGGGCAGAGATCTCGGGTGACTTTGGACATACTGAGCTTGAGGAATCTGCTGGGTGTCTGGTGAAGGTGGAAAGCCCTGATGAGGGCTCAAGAGAGGGTAACAGCAAAGGTGCACGGGATGTCAATGATAGCAGGTGACTGGAAGTCAGGGCCCGGGGGGGGGTGGGGGGCCAGGCCACACAGCCTGGGAGGCGTTGGAGGTAGGACGGCTGCAGTGACTCAGGTCACACGCTCAGAGGTCCTCACAGCTGACTGCATGTCCTTGAGCACAGGATGTCGCTCGAGGCTCACACCAGCCCCAAGATTAGGAAGATCCCTGGCCTGCCTTCTCCTGGGTCAGCTCATGGCCTGGTCGCAGCCACTTTGAGACCCAGAGCCCAGGTCTCCACCCAGACCTGTCACAGACCAGGATAGCCCTCCCAGGCCACAGCAAAAGTTGCAGGTCTTTGCAGCTGTGCCTGCCTCAGAGCCGGGTTAAACTTTGACTGAGGAAATGATTACTAAACCCTCTTCCACCAGTGTCACCTAGTCACACTTAAATTCCGGTCTGGGTAACCAGCCTCCGTGCTCCCCACTTTACTGGAAGTCCAGGGCAACTGTATCTCTGGGGAAACAGTGGTGGCTTCAGGTCCCAGTTAGAGCCACCCTGACTGGCAGGTGGCGGGTGGGTGCCCAGAGAGCTCTGGCCTGGAATTAGCAAAGTCAGTGGCCCTGACATGCTCACAGCTGCCCGACTGGGGAAGCTGGTGTGTGTCCTGCCACAGGGAATCAGGCCACTTTCATTGGCCCCTCTGACCTGGGCCCCTCTGTGAAGTGGACATATCCTCTGGGTGCCCTGGGCAGCCTCCATGGCATTTTCTGAACTCCTGGACCAAGTGGGCAGCTTGGGCAGGTTCCAGGTTCTTCAGACTGTGGCTCTGGTGGTTCCCATCATGTGGGTCACCACTCAGAGCATGCTGGAGAACTTCTCGGCCGCTGTGCCCGACCACCGCTGCTGGGTGCCCCTCCTGGACAACAGTACGGCCCAGGCCAGTGTCCCCGGAGCCCTGGGTCCTGAGGCCCTCCTGGCCATTTCCATCCCGCCAGGCCCCAACCAGGGGCCCCACCAGTGTCTCCGCTTCCGCCAACCTCAGTGGCAGCTCCTGGACCCGAATGTCACGGCCACCAACTGGAGCGAGGCTGCCACAGAGCCGTGCCTGGACGGCTGGGTCTATGACCGCAGCACCTTCACCTCCACTGTTGTGGCCGAGGTAAGGGCCTCCCCCACACCCACCCCAAGTCCTGGCCCCTTGGAGGTCAAAGTCACAGATCGCAGCTGGCTGGACTCAAAATGGTCCAGTCCTTGGAGGGACCCACCTCTCCAGGCCTCCCTCACTCTCAGGTCGGCTCTCAGCCCCTGGGTGGCAGGAATCAGTCTATGGACAAAGACTGGCCCCCACACCCACCCCAGGCTACCGGAATGCGGGAGGCACCTGAGAGTGAGCACATCCTAACATTTGCACCTGGACACCTCACTGGCCTCACCCTGTCCCAGCTCTGCTCACACTTAGCTGTGACCCTGGCAACACAGTCACAGGGGGACTCAGTGACCATTCACTGGATTCCCTAGGCCAAAGCACACGGAATATGGGACAACCCCAGGTAGCATCCCAGAAGGCGGCATTGGGCAAATCTGGGCAAGTGGGGAAGGGCAAGTGACCCCAGCAAGAGGGAAGTGGCCTTGCGGGGGGCAGGAGGGGTCTCAGACCATGGCTGTTGCAGAGTGGGAGAGGCAGGGGAAGGGGTCAGACAAGACGAGAAAGTCCTCAATCCTTGGGCACTAGGGGGCCATGGAGGGGCTTAGGCAAAGCCTGACAGGAGATCCCTCATGAGGCCCAGCTACGCCTGTGAGTGCCCTTGCTGTTCTATGTCCCTAGAGGTCACCAGGCCAGCCACCCACACCCAGCTCCCTGGAGGCTTCCCATCCAGCTCCTCTGTCCCCACCTGCCTGGGCTCCCAGCCTCTTGAGAACAGCTCCCCCTCCTCTCCCGCCAGTGGGACCTGGTGTGTGACTCCCAGGCCCTGAGGCCCATGTCCCAGTCTATCTACCTGGCTGGGGTCTTGGTGGGAGCTGCTGTGTGCGGCCACACCTCAGACAGGTGAGTACCCCCAGGCCTGGCAGGCCTCCTTTCCCCTCGCCAACCCTGCATTCCTATGCCCCTGCCCTGACTGGCCCCAAACTGGCCTCTGACAGTTGGGTCCAGAGTTTCCTGCTTGCCGTCAGAGTGCTGGGTGTGGGTCTCACATCTGCCACCCTGCAGCTGTGCTGCCCAAGTAAGTCTCACACCCTCTCTGAGCCTTGGGGTTGTAGAGGGTCATTGCTTCCCGTCAGATATTCACAGCTAACCCTGCTCAGCCACGCAACTGCCCTCAGCAGCTGCTTGAATGCTCCTGGTGACAGGGAACTCAGTCCCCGCTGAGAGTGCCTTCCACTCAGACCAGGGACTGTCCTTATGCTCACGAGCGAGTGTCGCTTTAGCATCAGCCTCAGCTCAGGGGGCAAGCTCTCGATGGTCCAGACTGCTGCGGCTGGCGCCACTGCGCACCCCGGGCTCCTGCACCCTCGTGCTTGTGTGTGTGCTGCAGGTTCGGGCGCAGACTGGTGCTGACCTGGAGCTACCTTCAGTTGGCCGTGGCAGGCACGCTGGCTGCCTTTGCCCCCATCTTCCCCGTGTACTGTCTGTTCCGTTTCCTGATGGCCTTTGCCGTGGCGGGTGTCATGATGAACACAGGCACTCTCTGTAGGTCCCTGACCTGGTGCCATGCAGGGGAGGCTCTGCACAGGCTCCAGGGATGACCCACGCGGTCTCCTTGCAGTGATGGAGTGGACATCAGCACAGGCCCGACCCTTGGTGATGACCTTGAATTCTCTGGGCTTCAGTTTCGGCCAGGTCCTGATGGGCGCAGTGGCCTATGGAGTGCGCGACTGGGCGCTGCTGCAGCTGGTGGTCTCCGTCCCCTTCTTCCTCTGCTTTGTGTACTCCTGGTGGGTGCCACACTCCATCCCTTCCTTAAAGAGACCCTGCCCATTCTCCACCTGGGGGACAGGAGACTCTCCTTTCCCTGGAGACAGAAGGGTGCTGGAGGCCAGGGCCACATGGGCTAGAGGAAAGACAGAGGACTGGCTCAGCGGGCCAGTCACAGCGTGAGATGCTCACCCACTCCAATTAGGACTCAAGCACCTGGGACACCTGCCCTGCCCCTCCCAGGTGCCTGTTTCTCCTACTCATCCTTCTTCCCTCCTGCCTCCCATCACCTCATGGCCCTTTCCCTCTCCAGCCCCTACCTGCCTTGGCCTCTGGGCCTCCAGGCCTGTTTTCTGAGCCCCTCCTCTGTGCCAAGCATGGCAGCACTATGCCAGGCTGAGGGGTGGTATACAAAGATACAACATGCACATACCCACATACACACGCACACGCGGCACACACATGCATACACAGCTCACACGTGCACACATATACATGTGGCACACGCATGCACAGCTCACACATGCACACATATACACACAGTACACACATGCATGCACAGCTCACACATGCACACGTATACACATGGCACACACATGCATGCACAGCTCACACATGCACACATATACACACGGTACACACATGCATGCACAGCTCACATGCACACACATACACATGGCACACACATGCATGCACAGCTCACACATGCACACATATACACACAGCACACACATGCATGCACAGCTCACACATGCACACATATACACACGGTACACACATGCATGCACAGCTCACATGCACACACATACACATGGCACACACATGCATGCACAGCTCACACATGCACACATATACACACAGCACACACATGCATGCACAGCTCACACATGCACACATATACACACAGTACACACATGCATGCACAGCTCACACATGCACACATATACACACGGCACACACATGCATGCACAGCTCACACATGCACACATATACACACGGCACACACATGCACACAACACACGTGCACACACACATACGGCACAGCTGCAGTCTGCCTCACATCCTGACATTACCAAAGCATGTGTCTGTCTGCTAGAGAACAAGGACCATAACACACTCATCAGAGGGGACTCTACAGTCCCCATACAAGGCTGGCATACAGGGGAGGTTATGAAGTAGACACTTCCCTGAAATAAATCAGGTGTGGCTCTTGCCAAGCATCTTGTACATAGCAGGTGCACAATAAATACTTGTTGGATGGATGGATGGATGGATGGATGGATGGAGGCCCCTTGAGGGTAGGACTGAGCTTGGCTCATTCACATGCAGGCCCTCCATTAGTAGTTGCTCAGCCATCATGGCCACTACATAAAAGCACAGCAGGGCCCCAGTAGGGGACAGGCACCTGCACCTGCACCAGGCAGAAGGCTGACTCCACAAATATCTCCTAGCTCAACAGCTTGGTGTTGAGTAACAATTGGTTTGCAGTCACTCCTCAAAGCAGGAGACAATTACATCTTACACAGTGGCTCTACGAGGAGGCAATCGTGCCTGACAGTGGCCTTCTGGGACAGCAGATTGAACCCCATCACCAAGAAGATGGAGGGTGGAGAGTGCAGGGCAAAGGTCAGCAGTGTGGATTCCAGGGAACCCCTCTAATTCTCCCATGCTGATGCTGGGCACAGGACTGAGCCCCACTTTCCTTGGAAAACGTACCCACACAGGTGCTGTGGGAGTGCCCACATTCATTCATTACTTCATTCATTCATTACTTCATTCATCCAACAAGTAACTACTAAGCACCTCCCATGTGCCAGGCACTGGCTGACTCCAGGCATGACAGTGACAAGCAAGACAGATGGAGTCAGAGGAGAGATTGATATTGAGGGTAATGGAGACGGGTTAGTGTCAGGGGCTGGGTCCCACCACAGGGAGTGGAGGGGTCTTGGACTGCATGAGACAGGGCAGTGGGGACGGTCAGATATGAAGGGCATGAGAGGGGATGGGAATTGGTGGCTGAGCAGGGGCAGACAGAGGGGGCTGGTGGTGTCATAGACCCTGCTCCCAGCCTGAGCCCCTGGGTAGGTGTGAAGCTGTTTGGGCAGGAAGATGCAGCTGTGGGGTAGACAGGAGGGCAGCCTGACATGGGAGCTGCCAGGACAGTGGGCGACTCTGGCAGTCTTGCAGGACTGGGGTCCTGTAGCCACCGGGGGTCCCTATGGCACCCAGGTCCACTCAGGTCTGGTTCCTGGGTGAGGCAGATGAAGGGCTATAAGGTCGGGAGGGAGACAGGAGAGGGACAACAGAGTCCCCGACCCTTGTCAGCCAGCCCAGGGACGATGAGAACAACAGATCCCCAGTGCCAACCCCAGGAAGGGAGATGGAGGGAGGCAGAAGGCTGCCTGCTGGGGGAGGAGGGTAAACAAGACAGCGTGGCTGCCACACACCACAGGGCCCATCACTGCCTGCCACTGTCCTCAGCTACCCGAAGCCGGGGCATGTGGGCATCAGCAAGGCTGCCCCCTTGGGCAGAAGGGACAGAGGGGCAGTGAGGGCCATAGGCAGGGACCTCCTCCCACGCCCCCTCCACTCCAGGTGGCTGGCAGAGTCGGCACGTTGGCTCCTCATCACAGGCGGGCTGGACCGGGGCCTGCAGGAGCTGCAGAGAGTGGCTGCCATCAATGGGAGGAGGGCAGCAGGGGACACACTGACCACTGAGGTGAGGCAGGGCCGGGCCCTCTTCTGGCCTGGACACTCAGACCTTCTCCCTGGCCCCCTGGGATACTGATCAAGGGCTCCTGGGATGAGGGTCTCTGGGAGGAGGGCCTGCAGGGACCCCCAGTGCCAACTGCACCCCCACGCCCACAGGTCTTGCTCTCAGCCATGCAGGAGGAGCTGAGCGCGGGCCAGTCTCCCGCCAGCCTGGGCACCCTGCTCCGCACGCCCGCACTGCACCTCCGGACCTGTGTCTCCTCGCTGTGTTGGTAGATCCCCTCAACCCCCACCCCCTGCCCAGCCTCTTCCTCTGGCTGCTCTCAGGCTGCCAGCCCCCAAGGAACCCAGGATCAGGGCTCTGGCAGGCATGTGGCCGGGCCACTGCTGACTTTGCTGTTGGTCCCCCTGGCTGGAGAGCACCTCCAGGACAAGGTCGACAGCACGGCCACCTTCCCCTCTGTCAGTCAGACTTCCAGCAGGAAACCTCCTGGCCAGGTGGACTCACTAAGGGGGGTTGATAAGGGGCAGAGACAATAGAAGAGACTTGAGGAGGACTCACAGCAAACCTGCTGGGAGAGCTTAAGAGCCACATGGAACACTGAGGCCACCAGCGAACAGCAACGAGAGGAGGGCACGCACAGAGAACAGCACAGGGAGGAGGAAGGCTGTATGATCAGAGCCCAGGACCCAGGCCACCCAGCAGAGACCAAAGCCACCAAGGCCACAGAGGGAGGGCTTGGTCAGCGGCAGCTGGGGCCATGGAGGGTACAGTCACCCCCAGACAAAGCAACCAGAGAAGACAGGAGAAACACCCTGACTGCTCCCCTGTCCACCCGCCAGCCTCTCATCAGCTCCTCCCCTTGGCCAAATCCAGTTTGAAGCCACACTGGCAAGGGAGCCTGGTAAATGTAGTCTGCTGAGCCCATCCAGGCCATATCTAGCCAGCAGCAGGAGGGCAGGAACTGGAGCTGAGAACGAACAGCAGAGGAGCAGCCCACTCCCCAGCCTGACTGCACCTGCCCCCTGCCCCTAGGTTCGCCTTTGGCTTCACCTTCTATGGCCTGGCCCTGGACCTGCAGGCCTTCGGCAGTGACATCTTCCTGCTCCAGGTGCTCATCGGGGTGGTGGACATCCCAGCCAAGATAGGTACCCTGCTGCTGCTGCGCTGCCTGGGCCGCCGTCCCCTGCACGCTGCGTCCCTGGTACTGGCAGGGCTCTGCATCCTGGCCAACACGCTGGTGCCCCACGGTGAGCAGGTGGGGCTGTGGGCCAGGGGCTTCCCTACCTAGGGGCTCTGGACTAGAGGAAGGGCCCAGTCAGGAAGGGGGCTGCTGGGGCATCTAGGGAGAGATGGTTGTGGCTTTCACTGAGAACAGGGAGCAGGTAGGGAGTGGAAGGGCAGCATAGGGAAAAATTGTGGAGATAAAATGAGAGGAACTCAGTGGCAAACTGCAGGGGGAGGGAAGTGAGAGGGTCAGAGGCCTCCCGGGGTCTGGCTCTGGGTGTCTGGGTGGGGAGCAGATTGGGGAGAGGGGTGGCCATGAGACCACTTAGGACAGGGTGATGTGTAGGGTCTGGGGACACCCAGGTGGAGATGACTCACAGACATTTGGAAAGACAGGCCTGGAACTAAAGGAGAAGCCTCCTGGGCTCAAGGGAGCCTCCATCTGACCCTGGGCCTGTACCTCCAACCCCGCTAACCCCATGTCTATCCACAGAGATGGGCACTCTGCGTTCAGCCCTGGCCATGCTGGGGCTGGGGGGTGTGGGGGCTGCCTTCACCTGCATGACTATCTACACTGCCGAGCTCTTCCCCACAGTGCTCAGGTGAGGCCAGGCCTGGACCCAAGGAGCAGACATGCTGGGCTGGGAAGGTGAATGGGCTGGCTTCCCCCAGACTTGGATGTTTGTGCCACACATCTCCCTTCCCAGGGGATCTGGGCTGCCAAGGTGCATCCCAAGGCCTCCCTGGGCCAAGTGGGGCTGGGCCACGGTGGGAGGTCAAGGCCATGGGCAGGCAGAGTGGCCACTCACAGGTGCATCTGCACTGGCAGGATGACAGCAGTAGGCCTGGCCCAGATGGCAGCCCGTGGGGGAGCAATCCTGGGGCCTCCAGTCTGGCTGCTGGGCATCCATGGCCCCTCACTGCCCCTTCTGGTATATGGGACAGTGCCAGTGCTATGTGGCCTGGCTGCACTGCTGCTGCCCGAGACCCAGAGCCTGCCACTGCCTGACACCATCCAAGACGTGCAGAACCAGTGAGTGGACCCAGCCTTGGGACTGTCCCCTCCCTCCCTCCAGAAAACCCTGGGCGGCCCGGCCACCCACCCCATCACTGGATAGAGGGGGAAGCAGAAGCCCAGAGATGAATAGGATTGGCCCAGAGTCACACAGCACATGTTTGGGAGAGTGGAGACCCAGGGTTGGGTCTCAGCTGACAGTGTGGGCTTTGTCCTCTTTCCTTCCTTCTGCCACTCCAGGCCCACATGGCCCAGCCACTTCAGGTCCACCATTAGAGAGGCCAAGGGGAAGGGAGTGTGTAGCCCTTTGTGAGAGGGAAATCTGGGGGTGTGATGGCCACTGTTGGGGGTCCTCCCAGGCCCCAGAGTCTACCACTAAAGCTCCTAGATGGGTGACAGGGCTCTCACTGCCCGCCCCTCTCTCCACCCTGTGTTCAGGAGCTCAGTCCTGGGCCCTAAGAGCCGGTGGGTGTATCTTCTAAGTCCTCAGGATGGACACAGGTCAAGGGTCAGAGGTCATTCCACACTCCTGAGACACACCCCTCCGTGTCTTTCCCAAACAGGGCACTAAGAAAAGCAGCACACCGCACACCAGGGTGCCCTGTCCTGAAATCCACACAGTTTTAGCCTCGTGGGAAGCCTGTGATGGGACAGTTGGAGGAGGAGGCTTCTTCTGTCCTCTGGAGAAGGCAGGAGAACCAAGGCCTCCATTTCCAAAGGGTCCAGGGGCTGCTGTCTGTGGTCCTTGCTCCCCTCCATGGGGCTGCCTCTCTCACTGTCTGAGGAGTCCCCTTCACTACAGAAGGGGCAAAGGATGGTTTGATTGGCAGGAGGCTGCCCAGTTCACCATCACCCCACTCATGGCAGCTGCAAAGAGGAGAGTGGCTATGGCCCAGGGAGAGGCTGGCCCTGTCAACCCTGTGCTTGTCCCTCCCTGCTCACCCCACACCCGTCCACCTGCTGCAGAGCTCAGAGCTGACCTTCAGCCATGTTCAAACCTCCCCTGGCCCCGCACACGTACTGGAGACTCAGCTCCTCAGCTGCACCGCAGGCCCTTGGCAGCCTGGCCCGTCTGCTCCGGCCCCTCCCCACACCTCTCCACACTCCAGCCACACAGCCACCATGTCCTCTGCCTGCAGTCCTCTTCCCACCTTCTACCTGACAATCTCCACTCAGCCTCCCAGCCCAGAGCAGGGCCCCTCCTTCCAGGAGTCCAGGGCCACCCAAGGCACTAGTGAAACCCTTACCCACAGTCTCCTCCCACCTACCAGCCTATGAGTTCCCAGAGGGTCGGGCTGGTCCCACTGCTCCACATCCCAGCTCCACACAGAGCCAGCCAGAGGGGCATGGGTGTGAGGGACTGAATAAAGAATGAGTAAAGGAACAGTGAGTGACTGCCCCTCATCTACTTCAGTAATGAGCCTCCAGGGTCTGCCTGGGTCGGGGGGAGGAGGAGAGAGCCCTGGGGGGGCTCCTCACCGGGCTGGGCCTTTCCCAGGTCAGCTGTCTTGCACCAAATGCCAGGCCAGAGGAGCTGCTGTATCCTGCCCCTGTTGTGAACCAGGCACCATGCTGGGAGCCCCAAAGCATCATCTCATTTCATCTTTTCCTGAACCCTGTGGGGTAGATGTTGTCCCATTTTACAGATGGTATAACTGAGGCTCATAGAAACTGATTGTCCATGACACAGGAGGGGCAGAGTCAAGATTTGCGCCATGGTCTGTAGGTCTCCAGAACCAAGCTCCAGCCACAACACCCCACCTAATACTCTGGGCATCCAGTGACGAGCCTCCTCATCCCTCTCAGAACCAGCCAGGACCCCACTGGCCCTGCTCGCGGGGAAACGCAGTGCAGTGCACGCCAGAGGCATGGGGGCAGGCAGGAGACATTCGCTGCCCAGCTGGGTCCCTGCCCACAGGCCAAACAGCTGAGCCACCTGGGGTCCATGCTCAGATGGTCTCTAGGTCCACCTGTGCCTGTCAGTGCTTCTGGGCACCTCAGCAGAGGGCTCTGCAGCACCCCCACACACCCCAGCAACGTGTATACACGTGCACATACATGCACATGCACACACGTGCGCACACACATGGAAGGTCAGTGGGAAAACAGAAAGCAGCTCCTTTCCCCCAGGAGATGGGATTACTCCCTGGCCTGTTCTCATCAGCTGCAGCCCATAGGTTTCTGGGGGATCTGTCCTTCAGCCATCTGCCTATGGCCACCCCTCGGTGAAGACCCCCAGGGCAGAGGGGCAGGGGTGAAGATCCTGTTTGTTAGGATGCCCAAAGATGAGAAGGTCGTAGCCTTCCCTGGACTTTCTGTCTTGTCTGTCTGCTGCCTGGCTGAGACCTAACTGCCTTTCGTACCCTTAATCAGCATTCTTGGGGCCCCAGGGTGTCCAGAAGCTTCCCACCAACCCAGGGCTGGTGGAAGATTGCCCCTCCCTTCCCCCTGAGGTGTCCCTCCAGCTCACCAAGTAGGTCAGGGCTATCCTTCTGCCCACATTCAGAGTGGCCTTGCTCCTGGTCCTTCTAGGTGGTCACGATCTTCCAGGACCCAGGGCCTATCTGCTTCCAATATAAGTCACCCCTCAGTTAACTCAATAAGACCTAGAAGCTGGAAGGGCCCAGGGTCCTGCCCCTCTGGGGAGTGAGCAGCATCACCGTGACCCAGTGGGTGCCTAGAGAAGGGAGAAGGGGCCTCGTTCAGCAGCAGCCGCAGGCCTGTACCCTGGTGGCTGCTGCCCACCCAGATGGAAGGCCTCCACTTGGGACACACCCTCTCTTATGATGCCTACCATGGGGGCTCCTAACCTCAGAAGCTGCTGGGGCACCTGCAATGGAGGAGCCAAGGGCACTGAGGGTGGGAAAGAAGAGCCCGTCACCACCCCAGCAGTCTTATCCCCGTGGCAGTAGAGGCCTCAGGCAGCAGGATAAGGAAGGTGACTTGGGACTCACTTGGTCGGTTCTCCTGCCTCTGGCCAGACCCACAGCTCACCCCGGAGGATGTGTGGGGAGGAGCAGTGCCAGGGACCTCAGGCTCATTCCCACTTCCAGGAGGGGGACTTCTCCCAGTAGAGCCCCACACTGGCTGGGCTGGTATTCCCTCCACAGGAGGCTTGCATAGCCAGGGCAGGTCTTCAAGGTCAAAGGACAACAGCCAAAGTTCACTGTGATCTTCCTCCCCAAATCCCTGTCCTTGGTACCCCTAAGGTGGAATCTCCTGACACTTCCCTACAAGGACCACCCGTCGAGGAGCTAGGGCAGCTGGAATCTCAGCCACCCCCAGATGCTGTTTGGGACTCCCCTGGGGATCATTGCCAGGCCAACCAGACCCAGAAGAGCCCAGCTCGGGCCCAGGTGCTAACTAAGTTCGACATCAGAGGCACAGGTTGATGAAACTGAGACCAAGGTGACATCTCTTACTGATGGGTAAACTGAGTCAATGGCTGAGTCCAGGAATCTTTCCTCTTACAACCAAGACCTTGAGCTTCAGGAGCTCTTAGCCTCTTTGTGCAGAAAGGAAAAGAAGTCCCAGAGTCATACAGCAGCCAGCAGGACTGGGGCCCATCTTTCCAACTCCTGGACTGTGCTTTTGGCCCCCTACCTCATTCAAGGCCATTCTAGAAGTTTCTGGAATAAGAATGTCCTTCTTTTCTTGGCACCAAGCAACTCCTGCCTGCCTGCCTGTGTTTACTTTGGCTACTGGTGTTGGGGGAGGGGAATCTGAGATCGGCCTCTGTCCCTTGGGCAGAGAGAGCAGCAACATGGACCCCAGGGGTGAGGTCATCACCAGCGCAGGGACAGTATGTCCTGGCAAGACTGCCCCTAGTCAGGGCCTCTCCCAGACTTCCACAGGTGGTTAGAGCTCTGACCTCAGCGATGCCAACCCCAGGCTCCAAGACTGAGCAGCAGGGGAACAAGCAGGGCCCAAGTCTCGCCCCCGGGTGGCTGGCTCAGGAGCCAAGGAGAGACTAAGTATGTGGAAATCCACACCTGGGGGCGGCCGGGGTGAGGACCTGCTCTCTCACCCTTGATAGGACTTTGGGGGGGACTCTCAAGAGGTCCCAGGGGCACCATGGTGGGGAGGATCCCAAGACAAAAGCTTCCTTCTGGGACGGAGGAAGGGAAGAGGGAGATGAGGCCACCCTGGGCCTCTGGAGGTAGGTGGGGGCTGCTCAGATCAGCATCTGCCTCTTCCACTAAGGGATGTTCCTCTGCTGAAGGGGGGGGATCCTGCAAGTGTCCAGGTTTCTGGGCCTGATAATGGACCAGGCTTTTGAAGTGGAAAATGCCGTGAGATCGAGCTGGCTTGCAGCCAGAGCCGCCTGCAGATGGAAGATCAGGATCCAGAATCGGGCGGTGAAGGGTGATGGCCAGCCAAGGGTGGGAGGAAGCAAAGCCAGGAGGGGAGGCAAGACTGACTGAGTGTAAAGCAGAGAAGCAAGTCGATGGAGGGAGGAGCCCTGAGTGACAGGAGCATGGTTGAGTCACGCTTCACGTGTCCAGCGGCATGATGACCCACCCACACTCTCTCCTACCAAGGATGCCACACACCTGGGTCCTCACATGCAATCTGCATCTCGTGAGCCTCTCTTCCTTTTGACTGAGAGAGTTAACAAATACAGATCCATCTCCTTATGTGTCCGGGACCGTGGACCTGTTAGGGTCTCCACGAGGGAGTAAACACTGTGGACAAGGTGGCTGGCTCTGCTTCCACCTTCAGTCCCAGTAGCTGCCCACAGTCAACCACAGTAGACTTGGGGATGGGGAGGGTCCCAGGGTCTAAATCCCTAGAGGTGCAGGGGAAGGAGCTGGGACTCAAGTCAGGGAGAACTGGAGGCAGTTTGTACTCAGTCCCTGATTTGTCTTGAGATCTTGGACTAGCCACTGAAGTTCTTGTAACCCAGCCATCACACTGCCTCCCTCCAAAGGCTGTTGTCAGGATTAGGTGGCATCTGCCCTACCCTTGGTCAGCATCTGGTACCCATAGCCCTAGAGGGGTGGCCTCTTTGCCACCAGGGGACAACAGGATGTCTGGGGCTTTGTCAGCCATCCTGAGAAGCTAACATCTGCAGAACCAGGGCCAGAGACTAGCAATCACTCACAAGCCCGTGGGCTGTTTCCTGTCCCCATCTTCAGCCGAGCAAAAACAAAGGGTGAGACAAAGACCAGCCAGCCACCCCAGGAGCCCAAAGTCATACTGAGCCCAAAAGTTTGGGGGCAACTTACCAGCTTTTATGGGCCCCAATTTGGGCCCAGACCCCATACTGAAGCTAAGACCAGGGTTCTAACAGCACCCGCCCCAAAAGAACAGCACCGGACTGTTGGAATTTGGAAAGTTTTTGTTTTCTTTTTCCCACACATTTCCGGGGTTGGGGTGTTTTCCAAGACTCAGACACATTTGTTAACAAAGAGAGAAAAAAAACTGGGGGAGCAGGGAGCCTGTGAGCAGAGAAGTGACCCCAGCAGTCCACAGACAACGCCTTAGCTCCCTCTCTTCCCTGCTGCCGGCGCCCAATGGGTGCCACTGGCGCTGCTCGCGGTATCTAGATTATTTGTCTTTAATATATATCTGCATTTGCCTTTCCCCTCCCACCCG